TTGGACTGGATTCATTCTCATCCAGGGATGGTGAGGTGGTTTTGATATGGCCTGCGCTGTTCAGGGATTTTAATCCGGTCTGTAGACCAAGCCTGGGTCATTTTTCAACTCACAATAAGTACTGAGACCATCACCAATTGTTTTATAGCAACTCGCTGGTACTGTCATTTCATTCTTGTCTGAGGCAACAACCTTGTATTTCTAAGCGGATTGAGCTTTCTCTGCGTGAAGAGCTGCTTTTGACTTTGGTGTGAAAATGTTCATACATTTGTACTGGTGGTCTAAGCTCTCAGAGTGGCTGGAAAAGTTATTCAATTTTCAGGTCTACTAAGCCAAAATGTATGAAAGCACTGCAACGACTGTCACGATTGTCATGTTATGTCACGTTTATAGTTTTGGGTGTTTTTGCTGTTTTCCCTGTCATGTTTTCCTCTGGGTTATTGTGTGGTCCTTTTCCCTGTGTTTTTCCTCTTGTCATTAGTTTCCCTGGTGTGTCTAATTGTCTGATTATGTTCACCTGGGCCCCTGTGTTTTCTCCTCCCTCCTCACCTGTGTCTTGTTGCGTGATTAGTCTTGTGTGTATTTAAGTTCTGGGTTTTCTGTCTGTCTTGGTCGGTTCGTCTTGTTCCATGACTAGTTCTGCAGTGAGTGTTCTGTTTGTCATTGTACATATATATATCATAGCCTTGAAATAAAGGAAGTTTCAGTTTATATCTGCATTTGGGTCCTGTTTGTTTCACAAACCGTGACAGTACGAACAGACCAAAAATGGACCCAGCAGATGATCCGTTTGAGGTAGAATTGCAGCATTTTACCTTTTATCTGGCTTGCTGCGTTGATTGGTGGAAGGGAGCGTCCAGTGTTCGACAGAAGGAGGCCGCTCTGGTAGAATTTCACCGGTTGGTTATGGAGAAGCCAGACTTGGTGAAATTCTTACCTGGCTGGATTTTGAACTTTCTCTCAGTGTGTGATTTCCAGCCTGCTGACTACAAACGTCTCGGTGTGTTCCGTCCGGAGTCAACCCCTGCTTCTTCCCCAGTTCCTGCTCCTGTTCAGGAGTCGTATGATGGAACTCGTCTGGCTTATGGAGGTCCACGGAGTATTCAGGCGGCTGCGAAGAGAAGGAGTCGCAAGGGCAGGCTAGCAGCCCGAGCCCCTACAGCCATGTTTCCGGCTCCAGAACCGGACCTTACAGCCATGTTTCCGGCTCCAGAACCGGACCTTACAGCCATGGTCCCGGCCCCAGTTCCTTCTCAAGTCCCCTCTCAAGCCACCTCTCCAGTTCCCTCTCAAGTCTCCTCTCGAGCTACCTCTCAAGTCACCTCTCAAGTCAACTCTCAAGTCATCGCTCGTGTTCCCTGTCAAGATCCCTCTCAAGTCATCTCTCAAGTCAACTCTCAAGTTTCATCTCGAGTCTCCACTCAAGCCCCTTGTCCTGTGCCGTTGGAGGTTCCGCTGGGGGTCCTGCCAACCCTATGTCCTGTGCCGTTGGAGGTCCCGCAGACTACTCTTCTGCCGGGGGTCCTGCCAACTCCATGCCTTGTCCCGTTGGAGGTCCCGCAGACTACTCTTCTGCCGGGGGTCCTGCCAACCCCATGTCCTGAGCCGTTGGAGGTCCCGCAGACTGCTCTTCTGCCGGGGGTCCTGCCAACTCCATGTCTTGTCACGTTGGAGGTCCCGCAGAATGCTCTTCTGCCGAGGGTCCTGCCAACCCCATGTCCTGAGCCGTTGGAGGTCCCGCAGACTGCTCTTCTGCCGGGGGTCCTGCCAACTCCATGTCTTGCCACGTTGGAGGTCCCGCCGACTACTCTTCCGCTGGGGGTCCTGCCAACTCCATGTCCTGTCGCGTTGGGGATTCCGCCGACTGCTCTCCTGCCGGGGGTCCTGCCGGTCCTGTGTCCTCTTCCATGGGGGATCTTGCCGACACCGGCTCCTGACCGGCCTCCGGAGCTATCTGGTCTTCACCCCTCCTCGGACTCTGCCTTGCCCCCGGGCCGGCCGCCCGAGATTCCCTCCATGGACTCTGCCTTGCCCCCGGGCCGTCCGCCCAAGTTCCCCTTTTTGAACTCTGCCTTGCCCCCGGGCCGTCCGCCCGAGACCCGTCCTCCGGACCCCCTCCACCCACCCTGCTGGACTTTTGTTTTTTGGGACGTCTGGAATCCGTCCGTTGAGGGGGGGGTTATGTCACGATTCTGTCTAGGTTTGGGTGTTTTGCTGTTTTCCCTGGCATGTTTTCCTCCTGTTTATTGTCTGGTCCTTTTCCCTGGTGTGTTTAATTGTCTGATTGTGACCTGTGGCCCCTGTGTTTCCTCCTCCCTCCTCACCTTTGTCTTGTTGTGTGATTAGTCTTTTGTGTATTTAAGTGCTGGGTTTTCTGTCTGTCTTTGTCGGTTCGTCTTGTGCCATGACTAGTTCTGCGGTGAGTGTTCTGTTTTGTCATTGTGTATATATATATATATATCATGGCCTTGAAATAAAGGAGTTTTTTCAGTTTATATCTGCATTTGGGTCCTGCTTGTTTCACAAACCGTGACAGAGGTTGTGTTGATCTTAAACATAACCTTCCCACAGTATAACATGGGAACATTGACCCCAAACTTTAAGGTCCTATATCCACAAAGCACCTTTTCTTGAGCACCAGCGTATTTTTTTCAATGGATTCCAATGAGAACAGAATGCATGCTGTTGCAAGTGGCCGCCTCGAGTAAAAGTGTTACACAAAGCGTATTTTTTTCAGAGCTGACCAACTTTTTTGTGCAGAAACTCACAGCAAAGACCAAAAAGCTCATTTGTTTTTGCAGGTCTGTCTGGCGGACCCTGAATGAGGCTGCCGGTGATGTTGTGACTTTATCTCTGTATGTGGATCGTCCTCCTCACTCAGCTGTCAGACTGAGCGGTGAAGCTCACAAAGTGACAAAGTGAGAGAGTAAGAATCCTCCAGTTGGTGTTCATGATGAAAACAACAATTTCATATAAATAGTAGCACAAACATATAATAAATCCAAGGGGGCCAAACTCATCAGTCATAAAACAGTGTGATAAGATATTGTTGTAATCAAGATAAACAAAAAGTGGTGCAAGTGTTTTTGTGATAACCTTGGAGGAGGCTCTGCCCAGCACCCTGCCTGTCCCTTTCTGTCAAAAATAGACCCTGTGAACACAGAGCCTTAGATAACAAATATGTAAAAAAAAAAATGTCCTCTTCAGTTATGAAGGCTGGATATTCCTCTGCAGCTCACAGAAGAACAGATTATAGTTGGGATGAGTGCCGTTTTGTTTGTTATCACCTTTGTGATATGCAGGATCTCAACTGGACACGAGAAGCTGCACTAGGTCAGAAACCAGAGGAGACTGTGAAGTCCATCGTAGATGGACCACTTTTGGTCAAAATGTACTCCATTAAAGACAGCTCATTCTGGAATAGCCTCCCAACTGAGATACGGGATTGTCCCACTCTCAATAGCTTCAAAGGTCAACTCAAAGAATGGTTGAGAAACAAACAGACGTGCAATCACCGCTAAATGCACTTTAATACAGGGGTATCTCCTCTTGCACTTTATGCATCTCTCATATCATCTCTTGCACTTTGCAAGTCGTTGCTGCTATATTGCATTACCATGTCATAAATACTTGTGTATGCTGCTCTTGCTCTTCCTGCATATCATTTATTTATTTGTTGCTATGTTTATAAATGTCATGTTCTTATATGTTGTATGTCAGGGACTACGGATGGAAATGAGCTCAAAGCCCCGTGAAAGTAATATGAAGTAACCGATAACCCCTACAATTCCTAGTAAAGGTACCGTAATAGTTGTTTTTTTTTAAACGTCTTTATTTAATGTAATGGGGTGGAAAATTCTGGTTAATTACGAAGTTCACATTTTTACGGCCCTAAAACGAAA